TTCTTCTTCTTCTTCTTCTTCTTCTTCTTCTTCTTCTTCTTCTTCTTTTCTCTATGCGGCCTCCTGCACAGCTTTCTTAGTGGTCAATAACTCAGACACATTCTATGAGTGTGTTTTTAAAATTGTTTTTCCTCCAATTCAAGCTAGAAACAGCCCTTCTCAGTTGTCACCGCCACCCGGCACCATCAGGTAAGAAGTGCCGGAGCTTCTGCCGTGTGTGGCAGGCCGCCAGCGCTGAGAGCTGGTGTGAGCGGGTGCTATGGCACCCGCTTGTACGCCTGCCACACTTCTCAGCACACACTACTTACAGGTCAGAGCAAAGCAACTTTTCTCCCTTTCCTTTCCTTCTTCCACAAGAAGAGATGACAGTGTGCACATGATGTGTTGAGAGCCTTAACTCTGTATTTTTAACTACCCTATCTGCATGACTCACTTTCTTCTACTTTAAGTGCATTTCATATGACAAGTGTCTGCTACCCTACTTTCCAAATTAACTTTTTCTTGGGCTTTACCTGGCTCCCACACAAAGCCAGTGGAAAAGGGCAGCGTGGGGGCAGTGGAGGAAGCCTGGACTGGAAACGGGAAGGTTACGTTCAGTTCCCGGAAGCCCAGGATCAACTGTGGGACCTTGGACTCGTTATTTGATCTCTCTGGGACTTGGTTTCCTCATCTGTATATTAGTTTTGGACTATATGGTCCCTAAATTCTCCTGTAGCTCGAATGCCAGAATTCTGAGGCTGGTATTCTCAGTTACAAGGAAGCTAGAATAAAAGATCGTCTCTGTAGGAGATGGCAGGGACGGAGACATACAGGTCTCTCAACACAGGCCCAGTTCCTGTGTGCATGATGCTCTGCTCCACCACCTTTTTAGAGACCAGCACATTCCCAATGGCACTATTAGTCACCAAGCAGTGACAGGATTCAGAATGTTGACTTAACTCACAGGTGTGCTTCCTCCCGATGTCCTGCTTTGGTCATACTGGTTGTTTGGTTACAAAACAATAACCAGTGAAATGATCGGGGGGTTTTCCGCCTCTTTAAAACCAGTGGTTTGGGTATCAGATTAGATTTCAACAAACTACGAAGCAGAAATTTTATAACCAGGACGTCTATGAAAAATCCTATTGACTTGAACCTATCTTCTTACTGTATGGCTATTACTCTCTTTATTCCTTGTTACATTCATTTTTCAGGATTCCAATCAATTCTAAACTTTCACTGTAATAAACATATTACATATACTTATTAAATATGTATCATATCTGTGATATCAACTTTAATAGACATATATTACCTATCTGTTGTATGCTAGGTACTCCAAGGGATACAAGGTAGATGAGACAGCGCCCCACCCTTTGAGGAGTTATAATTTAAAATAGAAGGAAATAATATTTCAGGAGAGAGCAGAACATGACCCGCTACCTTCATGCTGCCAAGCGATCTATGAAACTGTTATGTTTCGAACATCCAAAATAGTTGTTATGAACAACATTTACCAGTCATGAGAGGGCATAGGCCTAGGAAATCAGGGCAAAGAAGGAGAATCTGGGATATAAGAAGGTGGTGGGAGTGGGTAGCCAGAGGGGAGCAGAGAAGGTGGCCCCAGAGCCTAACCTCTGCCACCAGGGCAAAATCAAGTGCTGTTTTTCCCAATGCTGCAGGCTACCTTCCCAAGAAATGTCCATCTTGGGTGTCAGTTTTATAAAACATAGCAGTTGCTCACCTATTCTGATGCAATGTGGTTTTAATGAGACCTATTTCTGCCAATCCAATTCAGTAAGCCACAGAGAAGCTTGTCACATGTATGCATTGCACTGTTGAATAAGGATCAAATTAGACATCCTACCAATGTGGTCAAATTTGCAATTAGTTTCTTAGATCCTTCTTTCAGTCAGACTGGATAAAACATTTTTAGCAATGAGAAGTGAATGAAATGATGGAGAAAATACAACTGCTATTCCAAACTCCACTAAGGAAAAATATCTAGGCTTCTCTGATACTCTGATAGGCATATGCAGGACCAATAACAAGGGCAGGATGAAGAACAGGGTGGGTGGGGGGTCAAAAACTGCCAGGAAGCTAGCTTAGGTCTCAAGAGATATAGACCCCGGTAACCTGGGTCTCTAGGTTTTTGGTTTTTTTGTTTGTTTTGTTTGCCAACAGATACTCTAGCAGGCACAGAATTTTTAGAGTTCCTGGTCATCACACTTCAATGCCTTCGACAGACACACCATGAGAAAGCAATGGCTTTGGGAGGGTATTGTCATTGGTATGGGTGGTTTTAGGATTTCTGGAAGCCACACTGTTTCTGCCAGTTTCTACTGTTATGAAGATAAGAGACATTAGCCATGAACCAAGAGATATTTTCACATGGAAATCTACAGATTTTATCACATCTAAGGGTAAACTTTCATTCACAATAGTTTGAATCTTGTGTTAGTGGTAACATACGTTCAAAGAATAAGAAACAAGTGGTTATATCAAAATATAAAGGATGGTCCTAATTAAAACTGGACCTGATTAAAGCCCATTAAGTTGTTTTAAAACAGCTAGGTTTTTCTGATGAAAAGCTTCACTTGCCTTTACTTTAAGGAGTACCTAAAATACCATGACATAAAATTTTTTGCTTGAACCAAAGAAAAACAGAGAAAGTGTTTGTACTCTGGATCCATTTAGTGCAGGAAGAAAAGTAATCTGTAAGTTCAGTTGCCTCAAATTTTCCACATATTCCCATGGCTGGCATTTTATTTTGGGCTCATAAACCTGGAGTTCCCATTTAAAAAAAAAATCAGAGAAATGCCATATTTTTAATGTGAAAGAGTCCACAAGCACATATTCCAATGCGTTTGAGCAATTACCCTTCTCATAACTCTGATTTTCTTCCAAGACTTCTACCAAAACAGTTACTGTGAGGATGACTCTATCAGACTGTAGCAGGGATCTTTGGGAAAGGAAGATAAAGCATGTTTTAGAATAAGATATTACTTCTGCTTGAGCCAAGCAAAGAAATGCATGAAGATTTTAAAGCCATGTTAAAGACAGAAAACATCAATCAGAAGTCTTTGAGGGAGCTGACTGTGTAAATTATATTAACCTCTGGTGTGTTAGAGGTAGTTGTGGGGAGGGGAGGAGAGAAAGAGAGAGAGAGAGAGATGACTAATCCCCAGCTTTCTGGGATGAAGACTCTGCATATCCAGTGTTTGTCTTTTTGGGATAGAGATGACACAGAAGCAGCATGCCATTTTGGGGTGACAAAAACCAGCAACAAGAGATAGTCTGTAAGTCTAATGTAGCATCTTTTCCGAGCCCATGTTTCCAAACATTTCTCATGAAGCCAGATAAAGCTTACAGGTTTGGAAGCATGTGGTGCATAAATGGAAGCTCCCAGCTTTGCAATTTCTTAATTCAAAGGATAAAATTTTCTTTTTTCCAATATAGAAATTTGATGTCATTACTAATACAGTTCTGTGAGATTTGTTGATTCATATATGATGCATTTGTACAAGTCATGTGGAGAAAAAAGTTCACTCAAGCTTCAAACCTTCTTAAAGAGCTGAGTAGTTATAGGAATACCATAAACACTCAGTCCAATACTGAATCTAAGCCCAAGACTCTCCATGCCTTTTGCCTCCCCAAAACTCACACAGAGAACATAGGCTGACCAGGTTTCTAGAAGACACCATTTAACATAAGGAAATACAACCAAGGAATAGGTTTGAGGGAGAGGGTCTTACCTTTGGGGAATCAGCTTCTAGAGTGATTAGGAAGGGGAGCTTATGACAAAAATGTAATATAAAAATTAAGTAGAAAAAGTTAATTTAAGGTCATGAAAATAAAGGAAGTTAATAATTAAACACTGTCCCAAATCCCTCAATCACTCTTTAATAAGAAGAGCTATTAGCATAACATAGAGATTTTTCTTCAGATCAGCATCTAAGAAGACTGGATGGTTTGAACTCTTATTTATAAATTCTGGAAAATTCAATGGAATCCTGTGATGACTCTTTATATTTAAGGACACACTCTTCCCCCAGCATGCATTTAAAACTTAGCAACTATGGGAGTTGTTTGTAATGTTTGTATACAGAGAAATAAGAATGCATAGAACTTTCTGGAGCCAAAAGTTTCAGAATAAGGAAGTTAGGGAAGATTTTCAGGGGGTTGGAATAGGGACCTGGAAATACACTAAATACGAAATCACCATTGCATGTGCATATGAGGTTTCAGAAAGGACAATGGGGGAGCGCAAAATGTGATCAGACATCTAAGAGGGTCCTGGAAAGTGGGTGATGAGGGAATATAATGGAATCTTACTGCAAAAGAGTAGGCCAAATGAATGTCCAAAAATGCCATGCATCAGGACTCATTTATAGCACTGTTTCTCCCCACTGTCATAGTTTTGGAATGAGCTTTTAATTTGAAAGGGAGATGTTGAAAAACAAACCAACAGATGTGCCAATTACAATTTCTACCTACTTTTAAAAGAACTTTCTGAAATATATTAGACCTAAATTCAATGGAAACCAATACTATTCTTTTGCTAACAGATTCTTATGTCAAAAAATGACTGGGGTCAGTATAAATTCACATTACGTTGGAATTCAAACCTTTTAGAAGGAAAGCTTGACTCCTTATCTTTTGAGTTATCGGCAGTCATCAGAAGGTTCCTCCACAAGGCAGTCTTTGACATTTCATCAGAAATATTGATCACAGATGGATCATCTCTAGATAGTTTACCCAAAATGAAATTAAAAAATTAAATAAGTAACTGCGGTTGTCTAGAAATAGATACTAAATATAGGACAGTCTTGTGCCTGTATTTTTTGATAGTTATAAAATAAGGAGTATTCTCATAATTACTTTAAAAAATCTGTGAAAAATCAAAATCAAAATCAAAGATTCTAGTTATATAGAAACTGGTTTTGGCTACTGTTTCCTAATTCATTTCAAATTACAGAGATGGGGTTCTGCGTGTTCACGGCTTAGCCTCTTGCCCCAACATTCATAACTCTCAGCCTTGACAGTGGCTCTCACTCGCTCAGAAAGAGCCTGGTAGATGGACCATAGGCTCTGACCCTTCCCTCACCCTCCAGCTTGGTCTCCTGCCATTACACCCCTGGCTCCTTCCTGTCTAGCCACAATGCAATGGTCTCCTGACTGTTCTGGAATACTACAGGCTTGCTACTGCCTCGGGGCCTTGTACTTGTTCTTCCTTCTGCCCATAATGCTCCTTTACATGGTACAACTCTTTTCCTCCTTTGTTTAAATGTCGCTTACTCAGAGAGACCTTTGCCGACTACTCTATATAAAATTTCTGTTTCCATCCCCTCAGAATACCCTCATCCTTTTTTGCTTTTTGTTTTCATTGCACTTTTTACCATCCAAAGTACTATAGTCTGTTACTTATTCATTTGTTTATTTTCTGCCTCCCCTACCTCTGTCTATTCTACTCGAACATAAATTTTATGAGGACGAGATTTCTTGACCATTTGTCTGCGACTGATACCCCAAGACTCAAACAGGGCCTGACACTTGGTACCCACTCAACAAATATTTGTTGAATAAATGAAGGCAGTCTGTGTATTTGGCAGAAGTCTTTCCAATATCAGGACATGTACAATGCTGGGTGCTTTTCTAGCATTTTAAAATGGCACCAATTATAGGTGACATTCAGAACTCTCTAAAATATTCCCAGGGCTAGAAACACAACCAAATAGCAGCAGAGATAAATCACAGGCCAAGTCAAAGAAAGTTTCTAGTGAGAAAACAGCACTCTTCTTACTACTCGTGGAAAAGATAGCCTGCGGTGTAAAAAAACCATGTTCTAGAGAAATCCTAGGCTGACCTCACATGACCCTCATTGGTGGTTGTTCACAGAGGGCAACAAATTAGACTTTTCAGAGGAACACCAAAGGTCGGGGGCAAAACCTTGGGTCTCACAGGTTCCCTCCTTTCCCAGTTTGGACACACGTTCTTTAGTTCCTCAAATCCAGCAGCCCTTAGTGACTCAAAGCATGAGATCAACCAGTTTCCAAAAGAATATTATATGAATACATGTTTTTCATGATATTATATGACAAAGAGTCTTGAAAGCAAAAGAGTTTAGAAAATGCTGGATTAAATAAAATTAAACTTAAAAAAAAAATACAGTACCCCTTAGGTTCTTTAATATTCCAGCATGCGTTGTGAATCTCCAAACTGGAATGCAGTATGGAAATGTGTCTAACCAAAAAATCCCTTCAGGAGGGGTACCACATGAGACTAAGTTTCTACAACATACACGTGGAAATATATTGATTTGAGGAAACAATCAACAGCATTCTAAGACTTAAATATTACTAAAAAAAGATAAAATGACTTCCCATGATTTCATGGTAGATAATTATATTTTAAAAACCTAGGGAATGTGGTTTTATAGCAGACTCTGAAGATCTAGAAGATTCCAATTTTTTTGTCAATACTATGATAAATTTCCTCCTCAGAGAAAAGTTTTCTCTCCTTTTTTTTTACTGGCATGGCCTTAAATTATCCTTAAGCACTTTGAGACCATATATATATATGTGTGTATATATATATATATACACACATATATATATTTATATAATATTCATACATACAATTTTTGGCCAAATACTTTCATAAGTCTTTATTATAACGCATAGGAATTTGCATTCTTTCGCTATGTCTTTGTGCCTAAAGAAGATCAGCATGTTTTGGAGAGTTACATAAATATTTCCTAAAATGACTGGTGCAACTGAATCCTTCTACTCAGGAAATAGATCATCTCTTTGGAAGTGCCATATTTTAGGGGTAACCTCCCAGAGTTCAAGCATTTATCTGGGATCAACTCAGTGAATACCTAGCTTATTCATCCTGGCATTGAATCTCAACCCGTCTTCAATTGCTACTTTTAGAGGTTATGAAAGAGAGCTTTGGTATACAGTAGAAAATATGAGAAGAAAAGACTACGGACAACAGTTTCCCACCGCCCTCCCCCCCCCTTCATTTTAAGTTACTTGGCTATACTCACACAGTTATTAGTATCAGAACTTAGTACTAGGGACAGGGTAATCTAATTCCTAGTTTCAGTTCTTTCTACTCTAACACAGCTCCAACAAACCTTTGTAGGAATCCACACAGTAGGAAATTCTTAAGTATATAAGCACATGTTCCGTGACTCAAAGCTTTTACATGTGTATCTTACCTACCTATAGTGCCCTTCCAATGGGAGCTGCACCGTGCCCTCATCTTCCATAGCTAGCATACTTTGTTCTTCCTGGAAAGACAAATGTAAAATATACAAAGTGAACCTGATGAGCCTCCATTTTACATTAAAGAAGAAACACAGATTAATGTTTCACTATCTCATTAACCTCAGGACCTTCCACTTTGTTTGCATTTATTAATGCTAGCACAGGTCCTTTCAAGAAAGCACCAGCTACCAAGAACATAAGTAATTAATGAGAGTCTCATACCACAAAGTAATTTAAATGCTAACAACAATCTCCTTCATGTCACTCAATGTAAAACGTGGTTAATTTCCAAGCAGATTTAAAAAAAAAATCCAAATTTTAAAGGGAAAAAACGTATGGGCAATGTAATTGTTTTCATTGTTATAAAGTTTAAGTTACAATCCCAGAATGTTCTGTTAGAAGGGAATGAGGGGTATATTTAGAGCAGCGGTTCTCAAACTTTACTTTACATCAAAATCACCTAGAGGGCTTTAAAAAAACGCAGACCGCTCAGCCCCACCTCCAGAGCCTCTGATTCAGTAGGTCTGGAGTAGGGCCCAAGAATTTACATTTCTAGTAAGTTTCCAGGTGATGCTGATTATGCTGGTCTAAGGACTACACTTTGAGAATAAGTGGTCTAGAGAGTTTTTCCGAGACAGGAGAAGATACCTTTCTGTATGGACCAGAACCCAGGTGTGCTTTCCACTAGACACATCTTAAGCTTTTGTTTTATGCCTCAGATTTCTTCTTACAACGACAATATCCTACCCTTCCCTGAAAGGTAGAAATGCTTCATATATTCATTTCTTCATATATAACACTTTAAAACCATATCTTTAGGATAAGGAAAATCTTATCCTACCATATGGAAATATCCTGGTTTAGTTTTCAATAATGTTACCAACTTTTTCCATGCACCAAAAAAATTTTAGTTATCTATAGATTATAGCTCCTACATAATGCATTTATTTTCAAATGAGTCAATTAGCAATGCTCAAGTTCAGAGAACTACTTGGGGCCATTTAAAAGTGTTAGAATCATTAGTTCTAACTCCAGAAATGGAATTTTATTTATTTTGTTGTTTTTTTTTTATTTGAGTATAGCTGAAACACAAGGCTACAGAAGTTTCAGGTGTACACATAGTGATTCAACATCTCTATATGTTATGCTATGCCCACAAGTGTAGCTACCATCTGTCACCACACAACACTATTACAATACCATTGACTATATTCCCTATGTGGTGCCTTTTATTCCGTGAATTATTCATTCCATAACCAAGAGCCTGTATCTCCCACTCCCTTTCACGAATTTCCTCATCCCCCCCTCAACGCCCCTTCCCTCTGGCAACCATCAGTTTGTTCTCTGTATTTATAGTTCTGATTCTGCTTTTTGTTTGTTTATTCATTTGTCTTGTTTTTTAGATTCCACGTATGAGTGAAATCATATGGCATCTGTCTTTCTTAGTCTGACATTTCACTCAGCATACTACCCTCTAGGTGCATCTGTATTGTTGCTAATGGCAAGATCTTATTCCTTTTTTATGGATGCGTAATACTGGAAATGGAACTTTTAAGTTAGAGATGAAGAGCTAGAGAAAATAGGATGACCCTGGAGGCTCATCCCTCTTTTAGTAGCTTAGCAGGAGCTTGGCTGAGCTAAATCAGCTTCCAGGAAGACATGACCTTTGGATGATGTCATTTCTGGCAGGCAAGGCCATTCCTACCACCATCCAGACCTTGGCCTCACCTTGCATGCTATCTCTGAAGAGTCCTTGCCGTATTTCTTGTTACTTAAAGAAACAGTGTTTTCTAGAGCCTGTTCAGCTAACCTACAAATATAAAATGTAATGTGGGGGCAGCTCTCATTTTCAGTCTTGGAGTGCTCTCTGTACACATCCAACCTACTGACCAAGGCAGGCTCCCCTCTGCTGGGACCTTAACCATGCTGCATACAGATACCTATGCCCAGCTTATGCTGGGTAATAATGGAGAAGTCAGGGAACTGCATGATTCTGCTACTTCTTTGCTTATAAGTTCCTGCCGTGGCCAACCACAAACCCTTTATTACATTTATACTCTGTGGAATTAATGGCACCTGTCTGTTACCCTTTTACATTACAGGAACTAATCCTATTCTCTTTCTCTGTTGTTCTTCAAGAATATTTTTTTCGGGCACCTGGGTGGCTCAGTTGGTTAAGCAACTGCCTTCGGCTCAGGTCATGATCCTGGAGTCCCTGGATCAAGTCCCACATCAGGCTCCCTGCTCGGCAGGGAGTCTGCTTCTCCCTCTGACCCACCCCCCTCTCATGTGCTCTCTCTCTGTCTCAAATAAATAAATAAAATCTTTAAAAAAAAAGAATATTTTTTTCTTTTAAGAGATGATATACTTTATTACATGTATATTATGCCTATTTCTCTTGTCATTGGCAGAACTATTAAAACTAATTAAAAAGAAGTAGACAGTACCATTGGTTTGAAATTACACATTTTAGCATTTGATCAAAGCTAATCTGCAGCCTGGAATAGGGCATGCCTTGCAAATGGGTTAGTCACTACATATGGAACATAATACATATGTCATATTAACTTATATGCGCAACATTGAGGCAATGGACTGAGCATATGTATTCTCTCAGGTAAAAAAGCTTACTTTTTCTAGAGAAAACATTACCTTAATACACATGGAGGGACATAAAGAGAAAACATTCAGTGATCCCAAATGCTATTTAAGTAAAACCAAGATACAAGCAAAATGCAATTCTTTTCTCAGTTGTCCACTGGAAGGTAAGCTTGGTATATAATACGTTTTCTGACTAACTTGGAACAAAACGTTAAGAAGGCATGTAGAAAGGCTTAATAAAGAGTAAAATTAAAAAGAGAGAGAGAGAGGGAGACAGAGAACAGTGCCATCAATGCTTAGGTGACCTGGCAGCAGAGAACTAAGGCTCAAGATTCAATGTAACAGCAAAAAATTGGACCAAAGCTTTGGGAACAATTTTGTTTTTTCCTCAGATGATTTTCCACTTTTCTCTCAAATTGCTTTCAATAATTATTTTGCACTCTGTGGCTTGTTAGCATGTGTGGGCTTTATACTAGTCATAATTCTATCCAAACAAAAACTCATCACCTCTAAAGATAGCATTTCCAAGCCATGCTTATCTGAGGAGAAGGGTGGCAGAGCCGCCGCTGCCTTCAGTGCCAGAAGGGAGCTGGGTGGGCCCCAGAGCTCGGGGATGGAGGGCCGGCTGCATCCCAGGCAGCACTGTGAGGAAGCCAAAAATTTGAGACTTTCTGGGGAGGAACAGTCAAATCAGGCATTGGCCGTCACGACAATGACAACCCAGTTTATCTCAATCATACAGGAAGAGAGAGTGAGAGCTCAAAGCTCACTGGGTATCCATCAGTTTATAAGTCAGCAGTACCTTAAAACGAGTTCCACATAGCACTTCATTTACACGGGGGTCTGTCAAAAATACGCTGAGTTCTACGACGTGGTGAAGATGTTAAAGGATGAGCATCTGAGTTTACCAAGAACATGAGAAGGCTTTCACCAATTTGACTAGAGGACTACTCAGGCTGTGATGTGAATGCCATCTTTTAATTAAATAGTCAAAGCATTTTTCATATACTACATAAGCGAAGGCTAGTTAATGCTATCTCTACAAAAGGTAGGAAAATTGAGGCTTTAAAAAGAAAATCTAATCAAAAAACAACTCAAAACACTCAGCATGCATTATGTGCTAGGCACACAGCGAATAATCCAGGAGCTACTCATGAATCCATTTATCAAACATGTATTAGGCATAATCTACATGAAGTATTCTGCTAGGTACTGGTGACAGAACAATGAAAAGACACACACTGTACTCTCAGATGATGAGAAAGATCACTGGACAAAATACAGGAAGAGAGGAAGTAGTATCTGAGCCAGTCTTATTTGATAAGTTTGGTAGAAGAAAGGAAGAAACTCTAGAAACAATGTAGGCTAAGAATAAAAAGTAGAAATAAATATGACAATAACAACTAGCCTGGCTAGAGCCAAAGGCCTATAGTAAGTGAAAAATAAAATTGGAGTTACTTTGTGGTGTGTTTCGGGGCACCTGGGTGGCTCAGTCAGTTAAGTGTCTGCCTTTCTGCTCAGGTCATGATCCCAGAGTCCTGGGATGAGCATTGTGTCGGGCTCCCTGCTCAGTGGGGTGTCCACTTCTCCCTCTCTCTCTGCCCCTCCCCGCCACTGCTCTCTCTTGCACGCGCGTTCTCTCTCTCAAATAAATAAATGCTGTCTTTTTAAAAAACTGTGGTGTGTTTGGATTAGTAGGAAGTATGGATCTGAATTATATTTTGTGATAGCATACAAAATCATTCATATATCATGACAAAGGCTCTACCTTTAGTGAAATAGGTAGCATCTGTTACTATATCCACGTCTGAGGTAAAATCTGTATCTATGTAGGAACCCTCAAATAGCTCAAAGTAAGAGCAACAGCAGAGAGCCAAGTAATATTCTAACCGTTCACAAAGATGGTTAGAGTATTACAGAAAATATTCAGCAATTTTAGAATTCATAGATCTTAAAAAATGGAAGGGACTTCAGCAATCAAGTTTGACCCCTTTATTTTATCCAAGAGGAAAACAAAGTCTATAGAACTCAGACCACTTTCTTCTTTAATTACTAATATAACAGATAATGCTGCAAATGTTCAACACACACCCACACCCCCCCACAGTACTCTGAAAGCCATAAAATGTGATGTGTCTAAGAGGTATGTATTAAAATTTCCAATAGAAGAACCAGTACATACAACTACTCACTTTAACAATGAAAGCTAAAAAGGAAAAATGGGGAGGAGGAGGAGTCTATACAGAATTCATATAAATAATTGGATGCGACATGTTTTTATCAGAATATTTGATTCAATATCTCTAAGTGACTTATCTAAGTTATTATAAAACACAACTTTTGATACAGTAAACTTGGATTTAGAAGATTATATTCTGGAGATACAGACATTATAGTTTTAGAAAAGGTTTTATTTCAAATTTTAGCATGCATCAGAAGGACCTGGAGGTCTCCTTAACACAGATTTCTGGGCCTATCTGCAGAGCTTTGATTCAATAGGTCTGGAATGTGATCTAAGAATTTGCATTTCTAACAAGTTGCCAGGTGTTGGCAGATGCAGCAGAGGTCCTAGAACTACACTTTGAAAATCACTGCTTGACGAAGAATATGCTCACCTTACTCTAAGATTCAATCAGAAATAACATTTGCCTGTGTAATAATTAGGCCATGCTTCCCCAATCCACAACCAATTCTCATCTTTCTAAGCAGTAAGACCTGCTCTGTAATTTGTTGAATTGCATTAATTGCACTTGTTCTTAGTTTGCTTTTGCATCTTCTTGGCCTTGCTCATGATCCTTCTTCATACAGATCACAAGTCTCACTTGCCTCTTTTTGTTTTTTTCCATAGCATTATATGTTAGAGTGAACCTCCTGTAAACCAAGAAGTGTCAATATCATGATCACTGCCCAAAGCTGAATTTCCAGGATTTATCTAACATTAACTGCCTTCTACCCCCTCCCCACCCAGGAGCAAACGTTCTGCTGGGGCTTTCTGCTTTTAACAGCCGCCCTTTTGTCAAATGTGTACAATGTCCTAGAGAATATTTAAGTAGGAAGGAAGGCATGTTGGTACTCTGAGCACATTTGGACATCCAGAATTTGATTCTGCAGTCTTCCCTTTACACAGAGCAATGTGCAAAATGTCAGGGTTCCAATATTCATTTCTATCCTGATTATAATCCTTTCTTTCTAAAAACTGAAGCATATGCATATGCATATGCATGAAGTACATGAAAATTTGGAACAGAAGCTCTGCGACCTTGGACTGGCCTGTGTAGCTATTTATTCTGCTTAACTCATTATTGAATTTTAAGGTCAAACTAATGTTTTCTCAATGCCATAAGACCAGAAGCGGGCTACTGATAAGAAAACCCTGGAAGATAAAGGTACAAGCTTGTAACTATCATCGAAAGGACAAGAGGTGAGCCTACTTTAAATTCGAGTCTCATGGAGCTGAACATTTTCTGCTATTTACCATCTTTCCAGATCACAATCAAAGTTACTCAATTAATTTGAGCAATTGCAGAAATGCTGCATTTCTGGAGAACTTGTCCATTTACCACCCGAATGCACAATTTCTTAGAAGACTGGGCCTTGGTATAAGATGCCACAGTAAGAAGATCACATCCATCAGTGGAGTCCATAGCCTCAAGAAAATGAAATACTGAGATCTGCGTGACCAAAAGGAAAACCAACCAGAATTTAAGTTCTAGTGCAATCCTTCTTAAATCTTCCAGTTTGCTATACTGATCATACACTTTTAGTAACTAATTCCAAGTTAGAAAGTGAACATCTTTAAACTTCCTCTTCTTTCTCCAGTTGTCGTATGGAGAATAATCTTTCTTTGCACTCGTAGGGACTATATTTAAATGTTCAGTAATGAATTGTGTTTTCATTGTATTATTGATTCTCTTGTTTCTTTCCATGTACTGAGATTCACACACAAGCATCATGACATTAATCTATTTCAGATTTTAAAGGTCTATACATCTTCCTGATTAAGGTATTGCAAGGCATTTTCCCCTACTTTTTCGGATATTCAGATCTGAAGGATACAGTGGTAAATTTGCCTCAATAAGTCTTTATTTTTGCATCCTTTTGGAAAACATGAATTCTAGGAGATCTAGTAATATTTGATTACTTCTAAAATATGTATCTTCATAATCAGAAAACAGTAAACACCCACTGGAGTACAGTGGATCTATGACAGAAAAAATTTAGAAGCTTATTGAATAGGATCTCTGCCTATCTGAGATTAATAAACTTCAAAATGGACATCTAGCACACATACATATACTATACATATGAAGTGTCAGGAGTAGTTTTAGGCAAAGGAAACGGCAGATGCAAATAAAGTTATGATTACTATCAAATTTGTTCTCCCCTATTTCATAGACATATAAAGGGAGAATCTAAAATTTTCCTTAAATGACAAAAGGGGAGAATATTAAACATAATATGTTATATGTACATATCATTTTTCATTTTACAAAGTTCTAGAAGGGCAAGAATGTTCCATGGTATGGATATGGCCTAAAGAGAATGCTATGAAAGGGATGATTATATGGCTGGGGCTCTTGTTAACTTTTTCTATAGAAGTAGTAGAGACATTTGAACAAGAAATCAAAGCAGGAAAATAAAGCAAAATTACATTTGTAAGTTACTGCCTTAGTATACGTAATAGTATTCTCATTATCAGAAAGACTGAAGGGACATGGTCAATGAGTTTTATATTCAAAATTGTCTTCTTTGGAATTTAAACTTTCTTGAGGATTATCTTCAATGTGCATAATCTTAATCACATCAAGTATGGATAATTTAAACCTGCAGATTTTTTATATTCCAGTGTCCATCTTATTTACATTTAATTTACACCAAATTCTGTCATATCCTTCTTGAATGGTATCTGAGGAAGAGGCCAAACCTTTACTAAAGTCCTAAAAGGAAATATCCTAGTTAAGGCATTGTTTTTAAAAATCTCTCATACTTAAATAAGAATATGTCAAACAGAAAAATAAAGAAATAATGATTTTATATATTTTTAATGTTGTATTAATATTACTAGAGGTATGTTTCTAAGTATTCCTTCTCCATTATTCGGGGAAATTGAAATAACTGTGCAAAATTAAGATACATCATCGTGATCGATCTCTAAAGTGGGAATCCATTGTCTGCGATGGGACGCCACAGGAAAAAGAAAGGAATGCCTGCCCGTCACATACTCAATAGCCATATTTGTAAAAACCTCTGAGGAGAAATTTCATCAGACTTTGTGGCCTAATCTGACTTCACCTAATAACTGAGTAAAACCTAGAACCATTCAAATGTTTGCAAACAAATTCCCCAAAGGAGAGAGGAATATATCCATGGTTTGAGAAATTATGCTGTAGACAGGAAACAGCATATCTACAGACCACCTTGTAGAAGAAGGAAAAGTGGAAAGAATTCTCACCAAATATTTTCTTTCATCTTCATTTCTATTCACATGGAAATGTTGTTCTTGCGTTTTACAATCTATGGACTCAATCATTCCAGTAAAAGGTATACTGGTCACTTTTTGTTTTCATTTAAACTTTGTAGTTTTTATAGAAAGCACATTTTTAAAATATTATGGTTACCAGCCTTCAAAGAAGACCCAGACTTACATATGAACTTTAGATATGCCATAAAACTTAAAACAAATCATCTTAATGCACGAAGCAGAATAGGATAGATCAGTTAGTCCACGGAAATAATTAAATCCCCAAATTTTCTCAAACTACATTTACTCGATCTTAAATCACTTTGAAAGCAGATCAGATCATAAACATTTCATCTATTTCAAAAATAACTAATTTTATCTTTTGATTAGAATTAGAATCTTGCCATTAAAAATTTGTTCCTTAGAAAAATATCAACAAGAATACTGTCTCTTTCATTCCTTCTCACATATTCAACCAAAAAGCAACCATTGCTGGACCATAACTCAGAAATAGTTAAGCATCAGTAAGGTTCTGCCATCCACAAGGGAGGGAATAGAAAAGCAAAGCTCACAATTTGGATAATGAAGTACAAAGTATTTGCATATTTCACAAGGGTTTGGTTTTCTCATGTAAGATCTGTGTTCAAGTTTCAACTTTAAGATTTTAAGCATTCATCTTCCAAATATTAATAGTCCACCTGTGGTTGTTAGTAATCACTAACTAAAGATAAACAAAATGATTTGGTTTTGCAAGGAGCTGTTACTGTGCAAGTGTCCCATTTGCTTCTCTTTGATACTGATTTCACTCTGACTTACTTCTTTTTCAGCATCTTCTAGTTTCTTTTTCTTACTCTCGGGCATTAAATCATCCAACCAGCTGAGTTCCCGTTTCGTAAACAAAAAGTCCATCAGTTTTCTTACAAATACCAGAGCTAAAACCTGAAGCAAATAATAAAATAATTTAAAACATGGAAAAAAATAAAAATGGGAGAGGTAGCTTTTTGTTTTTTGGTGGAAACAAGTCAACTTCAATTTAGACTGAGATTCAAGTGAAACTTGAAGACATACGTGTATAATAGACATTGTATTTTTGCATTCTTCATTTCCTTTTCTTACCACATCCCCAGAATAATAGCTCTGATTTTACCCAGTAAGGGAGTCACTTAAAGAAGCTATCTCAAAGAAAAAAAAGAAAAACCTACAAAATATATTTGACTGTTTCTTAAATAGATGTAGTAATAGTTTGCATTATTATAAATGAACATTAAACGATTCTTATCTATGCTGATAGTATTTTGACTTATAGTTATTCAAATTCACTATATTTTTGGAAGTATTTGAAATTTCTCTGAAATATTTAATAAAATTTAATTTTAAACCCCCTAGTTTTTCAGATTTGCTAGTATATCTTTAATGTTACATTTTGAAAGTCTACATTTTTCTACCCAACTTCAATTAATTCAAACCATTTCAAGTATTTAGAATGATAGAGGCAAAACTAATATGAATCACTGAAATTCATATATAATCTCAAATCCTGTCTTAGTCACTAGCTTTAGCTGCTAAACTTTACATCATGGTTTCCCATAATTGTTCAAAATGACTCTACTGTTCCAAATTCAGTTTTATATGTTTCCAAATAGAGCAGAAAATCAGAGGAGGAGAAAAAAACTTGACTTAGAAGTTTCATACCATCATGGGAAAGACAATAGCAGCTCTTGAAACTTTTATTATCCACAAAAGGCCAAGGCAACTCATCTGAATCACTGTGAAGAGGTGGACTTTTCGAAGTGGTACATGCCTTAGATATATAAAATCTGGCTGATGTTTTGCAGGCATCCAGAAGAGCTTTATTCTATCAAAGAACTAAAAGATAAACAGACTAAATTGCTTTTTACAGACAATAAAAGTGAGACAAGTAGATGTTTAATATGGTCCAAAATATCATACGTCGGAATCACATGATTAAGTTGACAGCTGGGCATCAGGACAATGGATTGTTATGCATACACTCTGAAATGCACAATTTCAGTTTCATAATATCCCACATTTATATAGTCTTCTAAGGCTATAACTTAGAAGAGTTTAAAAATACTAAAGCCAATGCTAAACGTTGCTACCTGGGAGAGTGTAGGCTTGAGAGACAAAATGTAATCATCATCCTCTTTTTCATCATCACATCACAAAGCTCTTCCTTTTATTTGCCCACTAAACACCATGGTCCATTCTCTGTCCTCTTCTTTCATGGAAGAGCTCATCCATACCCATGGCTTCAACTTTCACATGCTTGGTAGAGACTCCCAGACCTAGGTCTCTACTTCAGCGCTCGAGCTCTCTCTCTCTCTCTCTGTTGCCAGAGTATCCCACCCACATCCTGCTGCTGAGTGGAATGTGTTGACTCTACTGTTTTGGCCTCACCACATTGACCCCCAACGAGGTTTTGAGGCTGTCTTTACAAACAAGCTTAGCCACAAAGATTTAACCTAGATGAATTACTGTTAATCAAGTATTTTCCAGAGCAAACTTTGTTAATTTGATTTCTTGTTCAGTTTCTTCTGGTGCACTGTCAAGTCAATTACAATTTTTTCAATTGTATTTTATTAAAATTATTTTCATCTGGAACAGTTGTTTCTGTTTAAATTTTACCATGAAGACAGTAAAATTATTTTTGGACTATATGATATTATTGTTATACTTTCGATTTTGATTTTATATACCAAAGCAAATTTTCTCAATTCAAATTTTATAGATTAAATTTTCACAAGAAGCTTAAAACTTCAATCATATTTTACTCACTAACAAATTGTGCTGTGTGTTAGTTTTATTTTACATGGATCATTTTCTTTAATTTTTCTCAGGTCGATTTTTACAGTTTCCAATGTTTCCAACAAGAAGTGATTATTTAGGAAATGATGGTTTCAAGCACTGTCAGTTCTATTTCATGCCATTCCTATAGTAATATCTATTGTGCATCTTCAAAAGAATGATATTTGATTTTATTTCTTGGCTAATTTATGAAAAAATTGTAAACAATTCTCATCAAATATTCTAAAATTACTCTAATACGCCAAGGGACAAATATCCATGGGGTTAAATGTTAGGGTTGAACATCCTTTTTTTTCTTTTTACCAAAACTTGCATATATATATATATGTATATATATATATGCAAAAAAGGATGTTAATATAATATATAATTAACAAGAAAATGAAATATAAATATATAAAATATATAAAAATATATAAATATAAAAATAAAAACAATAAAATAATAAAAAGGATGTTAATATAATATGTAATATATTGTTAGTATATTTAACAATGTAATAGGAACCTCAAACTCAACATAAACCCATATTTTCTCCTATGTCCCTTGACTTACGGCATAGCCTGCCTGACCCTTCTTCCCTCAGTCATCCAAACCAGAATCATACACAGCCTAGTTCATCCACTGTTCATGTACTTATTTATACTCATTAATGCCTTCCAAAATCATTTATTGAAATGTACTTCTATGCAAGTACCAAGTGCTGAATTTCTTTTTCTTGGTTCATCCTTCTCCATATTGTCTCTAAATATTTCATTAGGTCTTCTTATTCCTATGTCCTAAATATCTCTTTAAAATACAGTGTTGTTAAACAAACAAAATTTGGTGATTGGTGGAGGTGGGAATAGGGAAGAAATAAAGTAAAATCCTCTGGCTTATAACTGAATATTTCAGTTTCTATAGAACTCATTTTTCCCAGCCACCATTTCTCCATTTGTGAAGCTGTTATTGCATAAGTGTACTTCAGTGTGTGGGTGCTTCAATTGTTATTGTTTAAATGGCACATTTGCTTTACTTTGGAATCCTGAAGTGTTGGAATGAATATAGATGTGGTTATATATCTGAGTACAGAAACAGCATTCGTAAGAACACTGTGATCTGTTTTTTCTGCCATGTTGCACAGTGAGAAGCCCAGATAATATGTTTCATAATATTGCCAAACAATCAGGTAGCATATAAATTCCTTCAACATATAATTAACATGCTCCTTCAACTGTTGGTACTCAGTGCATGCATGTTACTACTCAAGTAATGATAATCATGATACATGTATCCTGAGTTTTGCACTTGGCTTTTATCTTGTCCTAATATCAATAATATTCCATTCCCCCATGCAGTTAGCCACAAAATCGCAAATAGGAATTTCAACTTCCTGAGTTCAGGGTTCACTTAAATTTTCACTAATCTTGTTTCTCAGTGTGAGACCCTGCGTACTGTTTCATTTGTGCTATTTAAAACTCATTATACTTTTCTCATGGGCCTTTAATAATGTTTTCCTCAATTTTCATTTGGGAGATTCACACCCCAAATAATTCCAAAACTTGACATTCTTGTTTAGTTCTAAACCTCGTGGGTATAAAATCATGTGAGTGGAATTAGGGGGAAAAATCTGTTGAAACCTATCAAAATGATTTTACTTTGTTTCTTGAATTTCTGCTGCTGTATTTATGTGAGCCTGGGGCCTAATAATAAATACTTTTCACTTACAGATGAAATTAGTACTCGTGGAACTTTTGCCAAAGGCAAAAAACAGTAAAACAAATAAACAAAACCTCTTCAGTACTCTTCCCTACCTGCCTTACCAAACCAATTCTTTCAAAATACATTTTTCATACATGAAATTATAAATGAGCAAATTAAATCTAATTAGAGTAAAATTTAAATGCATATTCCCAACCATTTCCCTCTCCCAAGTAAATTTTACCCAAGTGTCAAGAAGAAGAGTCATAGTACCTTTGTGGGTGTCCAATTATCTTTCAATGACTTCATATTAAAATTTTGCCTCAGTTCTGACATCTAGTACTTTCCTAAGGCCGAAGTGCTTTTTCTTCTCTCAAAGTCAGAAACTGGTTGGTTGTTCATTCAGGAAAAGAGTTTCTGTGCTGTCTGTCCCTCAGTATCAAGAGTTTAGCTAAGCTACCCCATGGTTTTGCTGCCTCAGCATCCATTTTGTTTGGCTAAGCAGCCTGTGGTCACCTGAATCAACACTAGCTCCTCATGTAGGCACATGCCCTGGATAACAGCCAGCAGAGTCACAAGTAAATGTACATTCCTGAGATGAATACCCCAAATGTCCTTGCAGTCAACAGTCTCGCCTAACTCCCAGGGCTTTCCCCTTATGTGCTCCTTAGATAAGACCCACCTGGGGCTTACCAAAACCCTGCTTTTTATTTGAATTGATCAATCAGCCTTAGACCAGGAACCCCAAACCACTCCATCCACGAATCCTAATAAAGGCATGTGCCCCAGGTCTTGATTCTTTCTCTGTCTGCCCTCTGCCTTAACTTCCCTATTCAGACCCTTAAGGTACACCAGGTACTTCCTCCAGGACCTGTGAGTAATAAATTATCTATTTCAATTTCTCTTGTAGTCTATCCTTGAACCACAGCTCGCCATCCAGCACCCTGTGCTCCACTTCACATGTGTTGAGACATTCATAATAGTCAGGTGACTTTTCTTTCATGTCTTTGAACAGCAATGAGACTAGCTGTGTCATAGAAAAAGCAGTTTATGATTTCCTTTTGGTCAAGAAAAAAATAAACTCTACTTTACAATAAATAACCCTCAAAATTAGTCTCCTTTCAAGAAAATTTAAGTGTTTTAGATCAATGATGTTAGGTTATAAGACAGGATTTTTTCCCAAAGGCAAATTTAAGTAGAAATCTGCCTCTTTCTTCCCTGTGTCTCTCTGTGTCCTCTCTTCTTATAAGGACCCCCATCACTGGATTTAGGGTTCATCCTAAATGCTAGATGAGCTCATCCTGAGATCCATAACTAATCCATCTTCAAAGACTCTATTTCCAAATAATGTCACATACTGAGATTCCAGGTGGACATCACTGCGGGAAACACTATTTAAACCACCATAGTATGATAAGCATGAATAATTTGCCCACCGCCTCTGCAAAGATTTAGAATACAATTGTGGTCATTTTAAAATGTGTCCACAAACTCTTCAGTACTGTTCTCTTCAAGAGATGGAGTCTAATTTCCTTCCATGTGTTCAAGCTGGACATAATGACTCACCTCTAACAAACAGAAGAAAATGGAAGAGACCATGTGTAACTTTGGAGACGAAACCAAAAGGCACAGTGACTTCACCCTCACTCTTTCTCACATTGCTCACTTTGATGGAAGTTAGCTTTCAGGTCATGAGGGTACCTAAATGTCCTATAGAGAGCCTGTCTGGCAAAAAACTGAGGCCTCCTACCAACAGCCACAGAGGAACCGATGCTTTTTCCCCACAGCTGTGTGATAAGCCATCTTGGACGTAGGTCCTCCAGTCCTAGTCAAGCTTTCGGGTGCCTGCAGCCCTTGTCCACATCCTGACGGCAACTACATGAGACATCTTGAGCCAGAACCACCTGGCTAATCTGTTCCCAAATTCATGTCCCACACAAACTGTGAGATAATAAATGTTTGTTGTTTAAAAGCCACTAATTGTAATTTGTTATGAATTGTTATGTAATTTGCTAATAGAAAATTAATACAACTATATTTAACCAATACTTATTTAAACAATAAGCTTCCCTTTATACCTTGAAATTGCCTTACTCTATACCTTTCTTTTTAGTTTAATTTTAAAAAAGAATTCTATAAATATAATTGTACCAATTATATCAATAGTAGAAAGACAAACATGAAAGGAAAAAAAATCACCCAGGATCTCACTTCCTTAATAAATTGTTTTTATTTCTCTGCCTTCCTTTTTGATCCATTCACACTCACAGCTTTATAAACCTATATGGTAGGTAGAGCTTGTTTTCCTACTTTTTTGCTCTCCATGAAGCCATAAGCATTTTTACCATGTTCCTTTAATGGCCATCATAATTACCAATCTTAAATGACTGTAACATAGACCACTTAATTATTTTACTGCTGATGGATAATTGGGTTATTTCCAATATTTTGATAGTATGTGTTACAATGAACATCTTTGTGCATACAGTTCTTCTTTTCTGTTCCATATACATGATTACAGTATCAAAGATTAAAAGTATTTGGATATATTTTGAAATGTACTGCTATTAGTTTTCTAAGAGGGTTGTAAAGTCTAAACTTTATACAGTTTTAATATAACTTATGGTAAACAAAAATACCTTAAAATTATGAATGAGCTTGAAGAAATGTAACTGTGGTGTGAAAGCTGCTCCTCAGATGATGTCATTTTCTTAACTATCACATGATTTAGCATCAATAGACTTAAGATAAGTCATCACAGATGTGCGTGGTTTACTGTAAGCAATTTACCTGAATTCCCTTTAGAGACGAAGCACCCATATAAAGAAACACTCCATATAGAACTGGCATGGGAATAAACTGTAAAAGAACAATTAGAGAAAAGATACAAGTTATTTTTCAAATAACTGGTCATGCTATTTTTCACTTACCAAAAAAAAAAAACAGAAAAATAAATATTTTAAAAGCAATATAGGGCAGAGCCAGAAGCCTCAGGTTCAAATCCTAGCTCTAGCACTTTTTAGCTGCATAACCTTAGGTAAATTACTTAAGCTCTCTGTGCCTTAGCTTTCCTGTGTGTATATAAAAAGGGATGGTAATAATAGGGTTGTTATGAGTATTTAATAGGTCAAAACCTATAAAAGGGCATATAAAATACATAATAAACAATAAAGATTAACTATTATTATTATGCTACTTTAGGGAAACTTGAATTTTGTTTCACAATGGTTAAGATATTGGCTTAAAGATGAAGAATGGAACTAACATCTAGATGTTCTGACATTATACCAGATATTTGCAAACATGTGGACTGTTCAGTTTTTCTCTTTTTACTGGAATAGCTCAGCATAATTTTAGCTCTCTAATTACCTATATAACATAGAAATTAATTCTTGCAAATGTACTTACATAAATGATTAAATATAAATAAACTTATGTGATTAAATCATTCTGTTACAACTTTCAAATTATAGACAATTAAATGAGTTATAATTTAGAATACAATTGACACACCTTGGTAATATCTGCCAAAATTCTTTGACAATATAATTACTCTTTAATGCTCTTCAAAATGGACTCAATTACTTTAAATGTGAAGAAAATAAGTATACACAATGGTGATGTTCATGCAGTAGTGTCTGAAACATTTAACAGACAAAACTGCATATATGGCCATGACTGTTACGTGGCTCATCTCTGCACCTCTATCTTATTCTAGGTAATGTTAATTGCAAATACATCTGACAAGAAAATAGAGACTTTAGTTCATGTAGGCCTGCAGTGAATTCAGGTCACAAGTCAGTTAGAAATAATGAGTGACTTTTCCCCATAACTTGGTAACTACTTCAAAATTACGGTAATAATTTACACATCAAATTTTACTTTGCCAGGCTAAATTTCTTCTGTATTTAAAGTTTCCAGAACACAGCACATAACTTCCCCCGTTGAGAAGTTATATAAACATGGTAAAGAAATTCATCACTTTTGTCCCATGCCGTACAATATTTGCAAATTGATGGCTTCGGTTCAAATGAAATTTCTTAAGCAATAATAAATATATTCTGCCTCCTCTCAATTTCATACAGGCAGATTTCATTACCTTCAGAATACTGGTCATAAAGACTGATGAACCCATAAGAATAAAAATCATAAGCCCAGTAACCCTTTGCTCCCGAATGCCAAGAAACTTGGGTTGTTCTCCTGGAGCTGAACATTCTGATTCCAGTTTTAAGCTGTTGACATGAGTGATGGACAGGACAGTGGCAGCCACAAACCACGGCAGGCCCATGATGGAGCACACCCCAAGCATGACAGCCACCATCAATAGATCCAGATGGTACCCACAACCTTTCTGTTAAAAGAAAGAAAAGAGGATTCTTATAGGAACTGAATTTAGTATAGAGACAAATGACGCCACCACCATGGAACAGTAAGAATAGAAAAGAGATACTATCTTGAGTCTTAGACAACTGATTCTGAAATGCAAAATAAATTAAAGATAAAAAAGTAACAGTCTGAAAATATATAATCCACTGAAAGAAAAGTTGCAGATGTTCCTATTACAATTATGATTATAGTCACTTCAACCTACTTGAATAGGTTTAATGTATGTCTGGGTTAATATTACATTAGCTTCCATTCTATTTCTATTGGATAATTAAAGTCATTATCAAATACAGTCACTTCTCTTAGTTTCCTTAAATGGGCAAGTTAACTCACAATTCATATATCTACTCATTCATTATTAATTCATACAAGAAATTACCGAACACCATATACCAGGCATCAGGTAGAACACAGAGAAAACAGAGCAAGGACCGTATCCACAACAGTGCTGAGATGGCCTGAGTGTGACTAGGAACCGCTTCCTGACAATGCTCAAGGAGGCCTACGTATCAGATCTCCTAAAGAGAAACTCTTCTCAAACACCGTGTTTCCAATTGCCCTCTTTTGTCTCAATGGGTGGGTGTCTCAATGTCTTACTGGGAAAAATAATACCATGAAATCTAAGCTTCCTTATACATACCTATTTTTATCCTGATACAGCTCTTGCTATCTTGTTCTCATTTGTTTCAGTTTCAACACGAGAAAAATTTGGCCTCTCCCTAAAAATGAAAGTTTTTGTGTTTTCTCTCTCTCTGTGATCCTACTCCACTGTCATTGACCTCCACGTGTTGCAAACTTCAGTGCTTTCTAGGACCAGGCAGGAAACGTCATTGAGAAAAAAACAGGTGCAGGGGGCACGTGGAGTGGAGATGCAGGGAAGTGAGACATGGGTGAGTGGCTGAGGGCTCCAAGGAAAGAAACTGAAGGGCAAACAGCGCTTGCCTCTCCCTTCACCACCCCACCCCCCATAGGAAATCGTCAGTGGAAAGCCTCCGAGGTAGCAAATGGCTTGGCCTACTTTACATTCCAACTCATAAGGACTAACTTCATGAAAGGTAGTATAATACAGTGGTTAAGGGCTTAGGTTCTGGAGATAGGTGGCCTGGGATCAAATGCTGGCTCAACCAATGATCTTGAGCAAATCATTTAACCTCTCGTGCCTCTGTTTCCCTAGATGAAAAAAGATGATGGTGATGACAGGAGTCAACTTCACTTGGTTGTTGTGAGAATTAAATTATTTAATTTTGAAAATTACTCAGAACAATGTCTGATATATAGTAAGCACTCCATAAATGTTAGGGGCTATTACATTCTGGCAATTGAACAATAAATTTTTATTTATACTCATTTGTTTCAAGGCTCCTCAATAGAAGGATGTGTTTCTTAAGGGCAGGTAACGTATCATAAAATTTCTCAGTATTTCCTATAGTTTTTAACACAATCATTGGTGCACAATAAGCAACCAATAAGGTACAGGTTGACTTTTTTAAAGGGAAATATGCTTCATTAAGACATCTTTCAGAATCAGGTTTAATAAGTATAATTTAAAATAAATATAGCCATTACATTTGTTATTATGAATATGAGCAGAAATTACCAATTCTTCAAGAGGAATAATTCTGATTTTTTTTTTTTTTTTACAGGCAGTTTTACCCAACTGCAAGCAGTTTCTAGTTACTATGAAGCTCATATAGCCTAGAGTGTGAAACATCTTGAGTATTTGTGCATATTTGTCATGGTAGGGTTTTCTTTCTGCTATTTTGTTTTGTTAATTGTTTGATTAAGAAAAACACTCTTAAAGTCGGCTGTGCTTCCTGTCCTTTCTGCTTACCCCTGTCAAATATAAAAGTGCAGGAGACAACAGTGAGGACAAAATGGCAGCTATCCACACAAGGACATTTTCCTCTTGTGTTGTCACCAATTCATAGTGCCCTTCCTTGGGTTGGCTTCACCAGAATGCCTAACCTTGTCAATGTGACTCTAGAAACTCTCTTTTTGCAAGTAACTCAGCAAAGATCTTTATTACTAAGAGCTGGAGAGTGGGAAGAGAAACACTCCACTGCCAGCAAATCGGCATAGTAAGAAGATTAACCAGGGACACACTACGGTCTTCTCGTCCTTTTGAATGAACAATTTGGAAGATGTGGCTGCATAAAATAGAACCCAAATTTTGGTCCCTTTAAAGGAGCATGTCTTCACCGGTGATGTGAATGGTGCCCCCGGGCTGTTTTGCGAAGTTACGGTACTGCTAGGAGAGAATGGAAGACGTGCTAACAGCCATGAGATAAACATCAGGGAAGGGCAGAGGAGAGGGGCTCTGAGAGTTTGGCTTGTCCTTTTAGCACACCCTGGACTCTCCCAAGATCCAAGCTCTCTAGGGCTTAATAATAGAAGAAAGGCCTTCTTCACGATGGTGATTTCCTATAGCTCTTACCTAGTGTTTTAAAAAGACAATACAAACATAAACAGTGGGCTTCTGGATTGCAGGAAGCAGACAAAATAATGGTTTCCAAGTGAATAATTTCATTTTTAAATTTAGAAAGCTAGCTTTGTACAAGAATCTAATAAAAACAGAAATACAATTTCCCCCTAGTTATGTTGTACAGCAATGGGAGCATCTTAATGTAATGAGAATCAAAGGAAATAAAGCAGTTCTGGCAGTTCCACTAATTAATCATCATCCTCCTTCTTGCCTTTCATTAAATATCTTAAAACTTGGTCTTTGTACCCAAATCATTAGCTGAGAGGCATGACAGCCAAAGGGAAGTATCCCTTTGTCAGAGAGAGAACTCTGTACCTTCTAACATATTTCTGTAGATTTTTTTTTTTCTGAAATAAAGACAGAATCAGAGCTTTTATTCTCACTTTCATCCACGAATCACAGGAAATGGACATATGGGAGGAAAAGGGAACATAGCAACAGGTGATGCTACACCAGACCCCACTAAAACCAACATGCAGCAAGACAAGAGGCCAGCCAAGGGGACCATCTGATACCCAGATGCCACTGCTGAAAAAATTCATTTCAAAGCTTGGCAGCCATTTCCTGCATCTGTCAAGTTAACCACATAAAAGACTATAGATTGACATGAAGAACCAGGCTGACAAAGAGGGCAAAAAAGAACATATCAAATGCCATAATCATCAAGAGAATGTGGTGCCAAATGAATGTTGCAAATGCATTCATTTACTCAAGTGATCTGAGATTGTATTGCTGTTTATTAAAAATGATGTCAAAAGAAGCCTGAACTGTCTACAGAAACATGTAGAAAAGCCCACAGTTTGTAGCTTAACAGAAACTTTCTTTTCTGTAAGATAGTATCTTTCTTTCCACTTTTAGAGAATGTGCTTTTTTTAAAAAGCAGCTATTTCTAATGCTTTTCAAAGGGAGTCAGTGAACCTATGCCTATCCCACTTTTCTAGGTAAGAAAACAAAAAATGTTGGAGTACGGATCCATACCTATATATAATATAGATGATAATTTGTTTTCTCAAATTTTTACATTTGCAGCTTCTATCACTCTTGAATGACCCAAAAGATCATGAGGTGCAGTGAATTGGAATTTTGCTAATTTGAGCTTCTTCATTCTGAGGGAGGAGGAAGACACTTAGTGAGCTGGGCCAATTTCTTTAGCTCAACACAGCTTTACTGTGTATGTAGTAACACTCTCAAAATGATAAAAATATTTTTAATGGCATGAAAAAATGCTCTATAAGAAAACAACTGGCTTTGGTAATGGAAGTGAAGAAAAGGTGAAAATGTAAGTTTGGGAGACATCAAAATGATGAACTCCAAGGTGACTTGGATATATGATATGGACTAAGATACATGAGGTAGAGTCAACAGGGTGCTTGATACAGAAACTAGAAAACTTGATTCATTCAACTATTTCAGGGCATGATCCAACCAAGGCAAAAATGGGTTTTCAAGTGATAAAAAAAAATTAGTAAAAGCTGAAAATGTGGTTAACTTGTGGTCTGGGGATATACTCAAGAAACACATATCTTTTCCTGACAATGTGGTTCAAGTCAAAGCCAGGGGACTGTGCAAACATTTCAGTGAAGCAACAGGTGGGGAGAGCGGCTATGGAACAAACAGTTACTCTGAGTCAAGACTGTTCTGAGAAGGTGATCTTTTGTTGTTGTTAGGAGGAAAATCAGCGGCAGCAGACAGCACTATACTGAAGTTTATAGAAGACAATGATTATAGGCAAAAAATAAAAATAAAAAAGTGTTCAGTGTAGATAAAATATGTCTTCACTGGAAGGAATTTGCTTTGCAAACATCCACATCTGGGGAGGAGGATGGGATGTTCAGACTTACAGTGACCAAGAAAAGATTAATTCATGGGGCACCTAGGTGGCGCAGTCAGTTGAGTGTCCGACTCTTGGTTTTGGTTCAGGTCGTGATCTCAGGGTCATAAGATTGAGACCCCACCCCCCACCCCCTGCCTCTATTAGGTTCAGTGGAGAGTCCACTTAGGACTCTCTCTCCCTTTCCCTCTGCCCCTCCCCTCCATGCTCACTCTCTCAAATAAATAAATAAATCTTAGAAAAAGATTAATTCTACTCATGGCAATATAGCAGAACTTATGACTGAATCATTTTCTCTATTGTTTACTAAATCCAGCCTATTAAGGGATAAAATATAAATCTTTTGATTGCATAGTCATTTATTTGTATAATAAAAATTAATTATAAATCATGTAATATATTTTAGTTATACAGCCTCAAGTTTATTTCAGTGACAAAAATATTAAATGCTTTAAAGCTGCATTTAATTCTACATATACAAGTCCTTGAAAAGACCACTTAAAGGATGTTTTATGGTATTCTAGCTGTTCTACATGATATGTAAAGGGGGAAATATAGTATATTTGTTGATTTAGAGCTTTGGAAAGGCTATGAATGTCAAGGGCCTACCACAGGCTCATGAAGAACAAGGAGCAGCTGTTATGTGATTTATAAGGTTGGGAGACCTAGAAAAAAAAGGGTACAGAATGAACCAAAAGGTTATATCACTCTCAGCAAATCTTCACTTACTTCTGCATTTTGTTTCAATATGATTCCATTAATATGTAGGGAAAAAATACTGCCTGTATTAGTTTAGCTGATAGTCGTTACAAAGAATGATTTTTCAGCAAAATCAGTGGGATTTCTGCCTAATTATAAAGGCTAAAAACAAAAACAAAAAAATCTAACTTCCTTTGAAAGGAAAACAATAATTATAAGGCTTACTTTCTTCCTAAAAATAGGAGCCTTTGAGTTCATTTTAAAATATGTCATATAATGAAATATATATATATACAGCCATTAAAAAGGATAATCAGATTTGTATGGTTGGCATGGGATGACTATCACGATAATGTTCTGACATGAAAAATAATACAAGTAACATATGTAGTCTGAAAACATGTATTTGGCTATATATCAAAATTTTAACAATGTAATCTCTAGGAAATAAAATGATGGTGTTTTTCATTTTTGTCTTTTAACTTTTTATATTGTTTAATTTTTAAACCAAAATCATATATTACTTTGTGAGAAATACAGAGATATTTTCAGTTCTAAAAAATAAATTGGTGTCTAGGAAAATGTTTTCCTACTTCTTAGAGAGTTAACAGACTAATAATTTTCAACCTAAAGTATGAACACATGTTTTATAGATCTATTTAATCAACTATGTAACTTTCACAATTACGTTGTGGTAGAATTTGCTTTTGCAGATGACTGATATCTTAAAAGCAAATAATACTTTTAAATAATTCTTATTAAATAAGTAGGCTATTAAACTTGGAAATCTGAATTCCTTGTTTTGAGGGCTGTATATCACTCATAGTTTCCAATATTGAATGGAGTAGTTTTCAAAATTTTCAAAATTTTTTTCCTACCAATTGATATCACATTGGTAACTTGAAATGGGCCATGGTGGAAGTATTCACACCATGAAAATCAGCAAACATTATAAAACAGGGTCTCTCTTTTAAATGCAGAGAACTGGTTGTTAAGCATGTACTAGCACACCACTTGTCTAGTTCCTAAGACTTTGTGAGATATTTTTGTAAAATTACCTTTTTAAAAAAGTTTTTATTTAAATTCCAGTTAGTTGACATACAGTGTGATATTAATTTCAGGTGTACAATATAGTGATTCAACACTTCCATACAACACCCAGTGCTCATCACAACAAGTGCTCTCCTTAATCCCCATCACCTATTTCACCCATCCCCCACCCCCCCTCTGGTAACCATCAGTGTGTTCTCTACAGTTCAGAGTATGTTTCTTGGTTTGTCTCTCTCTCTCTCTCTGACAGGAAAAAAGAGAGAGAGAGAGAGAGAGCAAAAGTGGGGGAGGGGAGCAGCAGGCAGAGGGAGAAGCAGGCCCCCCACTGAGTAGGAAGGTCAATCCCAGGACCCTGAGCTCAATCCCAGGACCCTGAGATCATGACTGGAGCCGAAAGCAGATGCTTAACCGACTGAGCCACCCAGGAGACCCCCTCTCTCTTTTCTTCCCTTTGTTCATTTGTTTTGTTTCTTAAATTCCACATAATTAAGAATTTTATTTGACAAAAGCAAAAAGTGAATTGAACAAACTCCTTTTAGAAAAAGTTTTGAGCACTTGAGTTACTTTCTATAAAGAGAATGAAGAATGCTCTTTGTTTTCAGATAGGCACACATTCTCCTCCAACATATACATAAAATTCCTTTTTAGTAAGATTTATTAGAAATAATTGTGCTTTCTTATGTGTTAATGCCATTATTATTTTCCACCAAATAGCTCAATCAGAGATTGTTTAATCCTTCTAACAAACATACTTGTAAAATTCTTTAAAGTATGATTTCTGTTGCTCTGAAAAGGAGCCTTTCCCTAGAATTTAAAGAGGATATGAAGGTAGCTGGGGATTATCTCAGGATACCAGAACAAAACAACTTGATTAATTGTACATATTCTGCTTTTAGAAGATTTGGTTTGGATTATTTTTTTAAAGATTTATTTATTTATTTATCAGAGAGAGAGAGCGAGCAGGGGGAGCGGCAGGCAGAGGGAGAAGCAGGCTCCCGTTGAGCAGGGAGCCTGATGTGGGACTCGATCCCAGGACCCCAGGATCATGACCTGGGCCAAAGGCAGATGCTTAACCGACTGAGCCACCCAGGTGTCCCTGATGTGGATTATTTTTGACCACTCATTGATATCATGGATTTCATTTAACATATTTTTGTAAAGTGATAGTGCCCACATTGAATATCTCAGAAATATTGCACACCAGTGAACAACTTTGATTATTCACAATTGTAAAATGGCAGGGTCGGAATATAATACGTAAGATATATCCATATTTATTCCCTTAGTTTATGAAAAAAGTATTGAAATCTGCAATAAAACTCAACAAAGATATCGCTTAGAAACTCTAACATTTATGGCCAGGTTTTGTTGTCATAGTCATTGAGGACAGATGAATAACTAAACCAAACGAGAAGATATAATTTGTTCCAATAATGAATGCAATCTAATAGGCATACTTAGAGTCAAATAGAGAAGTAGAGGAATCGTATATACAAGACAAATTGGTAAAGCTGCCCTTCACCAGAATAGACTGTTATTTCATTAAAATATGTTAAACATGGTGAAGAAAGTTACAACCTCTACAAAGTGTATTATTTTAAGTCCTGAAAGTAAGGTCTCGGAGTTTAGGCTCAGCCAAGTGCTATAAATACATTAATTAAAAAATTAAAAATTAATTTTAAGCTCCTTGTGAGACAAAGCATCATGAATATAGACAATAAAAATTACAAACCTGAAAACATTAATATTTCACTGTATAAATGACTAGAGAGTGCAGGTAAAGTATAATGAACGTCAATCAATGTCGGTTAAGCCACAACGATTTACATTAAAATGGATGTTGAAATATACCTTTAGCTTATGTTCTTTTCTGTTGATAATGACAGCTGTAATCTGCTGGTCCATAAAAATAAGAATAGTACAAAGCAGAGCTGGAATAATAGCAGCTATTACTGTCCACCATGGATTTGGACCTAAAGGTGTAACAAACCAGCCACGATCGTCTCTGGTAGGCTGCAAGAAATAAAACAATGTATATAGTTAGTAACTGGATTAATGAATATCTAATTAAATTATGTCTTACAGATGCTACCAGGAAAGCCCTAATTATAAATTGATATGCTAAATGAGCTATACTTAATAATAATAGTCATATTTACAAAGCATCTATAAGATACAAGTCACCAGTCTAAGCACTTTAAATATTTTAACTCGTTTTTCCTTCACAACACTCTAAAGAAGGTGCAGATAGTAAAACCGAGGCATAGCGGGGTCAGTAAATTGCCCAAGGTCCCAAAGGTGGTAAGTGGTGGAAACAATTTAAACTCTGACAGCCTGGCTCAAAAATCTATGTTCTTAATGAATACCTATAGTACATAAAATATTAATATTTACCATTTACAGTTGGCAAATTTATTTACATTTATAAATAGCACATTGACAACTGTATATAACTCTTAGTTTAGATGTGTCCACAGGTCATTATGTAAAAATGGCAAAAAGACACTTGGTCATATCAGGAGCTCCGGGATTGGTTCTAAACATTGCCGGTGCCTGAGATGAGTCCCAGAGAAATTCATTCTGACATTCTTTGAGGACCTCCCAGTCCCGTTTGACAGGTGAGAAAACGGAGGCTCAAAGAGGTTAAGTAACTGGACCAAGGTTACACACTTAGTTAGTCACATGGTCAAAATTCTATTCCAGACCTAATTTTATGTTTTCCAAAGCCCTATCCACTGTGCAATTTTTCAAGATAATGCATTTTCCTTTACTTTCAAAATGCTTCCTTATCTTTCAGGAGGGTTGTGTATGGATATTCTTACTGGAATAATTGACAGGAAATTTTTTCAAGTGGCCTCTAGATTCCATTTCTGTTTTTTTCTTTTTAATATTAGACCAAAATTTTAGCCATGTTGTGGGCCTTTTAATGAATGCTCTATTAATCTATATTCCTTATATTTTCATGAAAACCTCAAGTAGTAGGATTATAACCATCATCTAAATGAAGATTAGACCTAGAGATGGAGAAATAGATTATAAATGGTATGATAACTTCACCTTGAAAACACTTGGTACTTGTAGTTTTGGAGATGGGATCCCAATGGCATAGTCAATTAAAACCATACACAGAATTGTAAGAAAGACAGCAAAGTCACTCACTATGGATCGAACCTAAAAATAATGAAAACACTTGTCACTTAAAGAACTATAAATAGTAAGGAATACTCAAGAACATAATCCAGAATCACAATTTATAATTAGTTTATGACACAGTATCATAATATTATATTTTATACTTACTATAATATTATCATTAGCTCTGTCAGAACCTGAATATATACTTATGTATTCTGTTATTAAGATGGATATGCACTCAACCTTTCTAGAATGAGGCATTATGTAATAGCTACAATGGTGATTGCGTTGTTTTCAGTTTTTAAAATGTAAGTTTATTATGAGCTCAAGTGTGTGAATATTTACAACATAGAATAAGATTGCATGGCCAGAATCTGGCTGAATTTTAGGATTCTGTCTCCCACAGGTAACATTTCAATATGATAAACCTAAAGCATAATAAAAGAATCTATTTATATTGAAGAAGCACAATATTTTGGCTGGTTTATCTGGGATGTTAAGTATGGCAGCAGGGAATGTGTACAACAGAGTGGGAAAATTTTAAAGTTATTCTGTGTAAGCCAGATATTTTTTCTTTTTTTTTTAAATTTTAATTCCAGCATAGTTAACATATAGTGTTATATTAGTTTCAAGTGTACAATATAGTGATTCAACAATTCTGTATATTACTCAGTGCTCATCAGGATAAGTGTATGCCAGTTTTTAAAGCCATTTTTCATTTATAAAGCCATCTTTGAGAAAAAAAAATCCTTATTACAAACATCAACTAGGTATGGCTTCTATTAGGAAGACCTTATGACACATACACCCACACAAAATGGAGGAGATTATTGTTTCAACTTACCAAAAAAAATTTGTATCAATCAAATTGAGCTTTGGGAGGGGAAGGAATTAATCTTCCGCCTTAGGGAAGGAAGAGGTGACAAAAACAGAAGTTTTCTCTGGAAGAAACAGTTCTTAAAACATTTTCTTAGAGTAGAATTTTGATCATAATCTTTAGCTCATCCCTAAAAAGCTTGTTTTCTTGTTCCTTTTCTTTCTTTTTTCTTTTTTTTTCTTTTTGGCTGAGTCAGACATTATAGGTGTTACTTTGCAGTGTTAAATATTGAACTAAGCTGTTTCTCTGTTTACTTTGCTCTCCAAATATGCAGATGTAAACGTGGTGGGTTAGGGGGAGGGACTGACACTTTAAAAATGAAAAAGAGAATAGTGTTCCAATGAGTCTTGCAGGGGCTTTCCCAATTAGAGAATGTAACTGTGGCTCCTAGGAGGTATCTGTCAGGCTGGAATAGCTCCCACTGTTCACTGGGCAAGAAAGTGACAATCAGGAATGCAGTGTGGGCTTCGGATTTCCAAAAGCGTAAGTGGGAGGGTGGGAGTTTATCTTTGGGATCTGAAGTTAGCATAAAAGCTTCGAGGGCATGTGCAGTCCTAGCACCTGTATCACAAAATGATTTCTCTTCACCTCTTTCCCCGCACCTCACTCCTAACCTGGCAGCTCCCTCACACACACACACACACACACACACACACACACACACACACACACACAGCTTTTTAGTGGCTCCTTTGATGGCAGCAATTGCTATTTCTTTTGTCTTAAAACACATATGACTCTATCACATGCTTTATGTTGGTTTATGTTTGGATCAGGAAAATTCTAGTCTAAGTACCTTGGTTGGAAAATAGCGGCTAGTCTTGAACTGCTTCAGGGTAGCTGACAGAGTAACTGTGGAAAAGAACAGGATCACCGACCAAAACAGAACATCTGGTACATATGGGTGATCGTGGCCACAGGCTCGTCCAATGTATTCTCCATGCAATGATTTGCATTCCTGCCAGAGGAAGTAAAACAAATGGAGCTAGTTAAGAAAGGAGAGGACACATTTCTTTCAGAAAACTATCGTCTAAGATCAACTGTAGTTGAGATGTTGAAGCTCTTCATCTGTGGCTCTCAACGACTTAATAGACATCCGAGTAAGCTTTATGAATTCTCTTTGGATAGCTAGTGAGCAATATTGGAGATTTATATTATGTTCAAATTGAACATGAACCACTTTTAAAATTTTTGCTTTTTTCAAATTAAATTTAAATCTATATAACTAATTGATCTACCAATCAATGTATATTTAACCTCATATCCGCTAAGTTCCTAACACTAGATTTATTGGAAATATGACATATGTGATAGTATGTGGTTACTAGGGTCAACACTACACCAAGACATTTAAGTATATCATCTTAATTAATTCCCACATCAACCCTATGAAATAGGGAGATGTCATTATTTCTATTTCCTGTCTGAGGAGACTGAGACATAGGGAAGTTAAGTAATTTGCTGTGGCCTCACCGCTGCTGGACAGCAGAGCTTTGGTACAAACATGGTGCCTACGGTGGGAATATTTTTGCACATTAAAGAAGAACAGTAATTTTGTGGAATTATCTTATCCAAAAGCTATCAAGAAAGGTGAGAAAGCAACGAGAAAACCATGATACATTCTTAGTAGAATAAAATTGGGAGTCAAAGATGTGGCTCAAATTTAGATTACAGAACAAAAGAGAGGAAATTACTACATGAGCAAGGCAAAGCTCATATTTATTATGACTTCTCGTTTTTTGTTTTTTTCCTGATATATATTTTTATAAGCCCCTGAAGGATCATCCTAATTACTACCTTAGCCATGAGGTGGCAGCAAAGGCAAAAAAATTTCTTTTCTCCAAGAAAAACTGAGCATTTTAAAACATTAATATTTTGAAATGAAATAAAAAATTCTCTTTTAAACTCATCTTGGTTTCTCTTATTTTATATTGAAGATTAGATTACTGAAGTATTACTTTTTTTTTTTTTTTTCAAAAGAGAAAATCATGATTTAAGTGATCCGGTGACCTCATTAGTAGTACTTGAGATATTCTGGACCTAAAGAGAAATTGAATTTATTGAGGATCCTTCTGCTTCTGTACCTTCAAAAGATTTTAGAATAGATCACAGATAGCCACATTTTTATCTAAAAACAAACCAACAACAAGTAAAATCTGTTTAGAGCAGCTACCCCTAAGGCCAGGATTCTTGAAAAATATTGTTAACTTACCTTATGATTATCTAAAAGAATTGTCCCCTTTTTTAATCTAGCCCCAAATATTTTCCTTGCAAGCTAAAGTTGAGTTCCAGTTATCCATATTAAGCTAAGACAGAGCACAATAACTTGGTTAATTAAAAGACCAAAGAAACCACATTTACCCAGCCATAATTATGGTTCTATTTTCCTTCTCTCAAAACTCTTAAAAAATAAAGCATCAAAAGTGAATCCTTGCATTTTTAGTCTTTTCTCTTGCCCCTGTCCAGAGATGCTAGTAGAGCAATCATTAAGCAAAGTAATGGTTAAGTAGAATGGCAAAACACAAAGAGGAGCTAGAAGCTCCACTGCAAACACATCATTTGTAGATTTGTGGCTGTCTTCAGTCTTTTGTGCAGATATAAAAGTCTTCTAAATATTCCTTGGACTTGGCTGGGTCTTGTTCTCAATCCTTAAGAACATAGATGCCACTTAAAGGATCATTTAACAGTCATATAATCTATAATAAATTGCCAGTAGCTTGCCTTGTTACTTTAATTCAAAGCAAATTTGAAAAGGGTGGGTTTTTTTTCTTCCTTTGTGGGGGGCAGTATGTTATTTAAAAAGAAAAATTGTGACCTACAAAATTCTACATTTATTTTCTGGTTTTACCCCTAACACATACACACACACACACACACACACACACACACACACACACACACACACACACGAACCAGTCCTAAGATTTAGGAGTGAAAACCAAATCTAAATTCTGTTCTCTTTTTTGAATCTAACATATGGTTTCACATACAAAAATTTAAAAAATGATTGTTGACAAACTCATTTCTACTAATTATTCTTCAAACACATTCTAAGTTTCAATTTTATAAGTTTACAAAAATTTAGTTCGGTAAGAAATAAAATATATTTATTTTGTTAATAAGAAGAAATTAAGGTTGGCATTAGTATATTCCCCCTTATATATGTACAAGCTAAATATGTAATTCTGAGACAATTGCTAGTTAATTGCATGTGAATATTTTAAACCTTGCTTAGGGATTCCTTGTAATGACTGATTTTAAGATTTTGTTAAATACATTTATTTATATAAGAGAAACTTACATATTCTAGCTTGCCACAAAAGACTTGAGTTAAGCATTACTCACAATGGCCAAAATATGAAAACAACCTATATTTCTGTAGATGGATGAATGAATTAAGAAAATGTGATATAAATATACAAAGTTATATCAGTTACCTTTAAAAAAGAAGAAAATCCTGTCATTTGCAAAAAACATGAATGAACTTGAAGGACATTATGCTAAGTGAAAAAGGGCAGACATGGTAAGACAAATACTTCATGATTTTACTTATATGTGGAATCTAAAAAGTCACCCTCATAGAAGTAAAGAGCAGAGTGGTGTGTTTACCAAGGGCTGGTGGGGATGAAGAAGGGAAAATAGGGAAATACTGGTTAAAGGGCCCAAAGCTTTAGTAATGGGGAATGAATAAATTCTGAAGATCTAATATATAACATGATTACTATGAATAATGATACTGTGTTATATGGTTGACATTTGCTAGGGCAGTAGATCTTAATGGTTCTCACCAAAAAAAAAAAAAAAAAGAGAGAGCAAGAAGAATGGGAAAAAAAGGAAAAGGTAACTATGTGAGGTGATGGATATGTTAACTTGCTTAATTGTGGTAATCATTTCAGAATTTATACATACATCAAAACATCACGTTATACATCTCAAATAGATACAAGTTTTATTTGTCAAACATACCTCAAAAGCTGGAAAACAAAATGAATCGAAACAAAACACTTGTATTAAATAGTAAATTTGTGATATGAAACTGTTTTTCAAAACAATCATTAAATGTTTATTGAATACTTACTATGCATATAGCAGTGTGGGAGAATCAAAGAAAGCTAAAATTCTTCACTCTTGCTGAGTTAGCAAGGTGTAAATTATAATTCATGAGATACGTAACAATTCAATAAAAACTTTTCAAATGAATAATATGTAAAGTAAATGTTCTATCACCATTTTTATAAAACCAGTTATAATAGCCATTAGCACAGTGTTTTGTTAATAAAATGCTAATGATTATGCTGGGGCAAAAACCCAGCATAATAATTAAGAGCACAATTTAATGGTCTTCATTGACTTAAAAATTACAAGATTTTTTCATTATGTAGCATTCCCTTTGGTGATAAAGGCTATTTCTGGTCAAGATTAGCAATTTTCCATTGCAAAAACTGCTTTTAACTAATGAAAAATAATATGAAAATTTCTGCCAGAATGTTAACACCTACTACAGAACTTAAAAATAAAAAAGAAGTGCAAGATTTGCTTTGATTGCAAAACATTTTTTACTATACTCTGTTTGACCCTAAAACTTTTAACATCTAAAATTAATTCATGACTAGCCAGATCACTTGTGCTATGAGTGTTTTGGAAGTTTATTATTAAGGATTTGCCATCACATAGAATAAATACTATCATTTAACAGTAAATTATTAAGGAAATACATAACACATAGAATAAATTATCATGTTAAATAACCTAGAGATGGGATTATTGGGTTTCTGCATTGAAGGGGACACCAAGATGAGGTGCACAAGCAAGAGGCTCTTTAGACATATTATCTCTACAGTTTACACAAAGGGAATGTAAATGGAAGATACACTGCGGAATAGATCAACCATGATCCCATGCTTAAATTCTGAATAACTGTAGCATTCTTTCTTGCTCAACATTTCTTTTATTGGTCCATTTAAATGGCTCTCTGAAAAGAAACAGTCTGTTAATGTTATTTTTCTAGGGACAAATAGATGGAACATAATAAATATTACTTATAACAGAAGAAAACAAGAATAAACGAAAGCTTATTCTAGAGAAAATGATTAGGATAAGAAAAAAAGTCATAAAATATAGGTTAAGATCGAATTTTAAACTAAGGGCAAGTAATTTGATTTTCATTCTGAAAGAAAACATTTAATGGGAAAAATTGAGAAAATAGGCAATAAGTCAAATGCTCTTATAAGAATCACACTTAGAGTTTTGTGATATTTGTACAACAGAAAAAGATTTCTATGTTCCACTAACTGGATCACTTGCTAAAATAGTATGTGTTTCATAAAATGAACTAGAATTCATTTAGAGTTATGCTGATGGTTATAATGGGATTTGAGCTTATACAGGTAAGTAAAGTGGCAGGAGCTCTAGATTGTAATGTTCATAACTAGAATAATTCAGATTCTAATACTTACTAAAATCAAAACATTCAATTTCTCCAGTTATGAGATTAGATTGAACAGAAGGATGCAAATATAGATGGAAAAAGAGGTGCACAAACATTATAAGATACTAGGAAGAATTGAGAAATGCATATATGAGGAGATAGAAAAAAGAATTCACAAGACAGAGGGAGCCAAAATTTTTAGGTACAGGATTTAACCCTGATAGGGAAAAAAAATCTTTGCCATTCCTTTTCTTGAGAGGGAGATAAGAAGAAAATGTAAGTAAGAAAGCCTTTCCTGGGGCACCTGGGTGGCTCAGTTGGTTGAGTGTCTGCCTTTGGCTTGGGTCATGATCCCAGGATCCTGGGATCAGGCCCCGCATCGGGCTCTCTGCTCAGCGGGAAGCCTGCTTCTCCCTCTCCTGCTCACCCTGCTTGTGCTCTCTCTCTCTCTGTCAAATAAATAAAAATCCTTAAAAAAAAAAAAAAAAAAAAGAAAGAAAGAAAGAAAGCCCTTCCTGAGGAAGGTGCCAGAATTTTGTTAATAGTGAATTTTGTTCTTCCTAAAGACTTCAATATTTACACTGAAATATTAACAAACATCCCCTCCCCCTCAGCGCATTCCAAACAGCTAGAGCAGTATTACAGTAAAAGAGTTCTGGGTTCTTTACACAGAAGGCCGACTTAGTTCTGCCATATGGTTTCATTTAGGTCAACACCACTCTTATTTAATGTGCCTTCAGTTAATCTTGTCATATTATGATTGATTTTAGAGTAATTCAGGCCTACTATTAGTAAAACTTAATAATGAAAGAAAACCCCAGTTTACTAATGAAAACCTAAAAATGAAATTAAAATTAAGATAAGACTTTTATAATAATTAACCATGCAAAATATTATTGCTTTAGTGGCAATAATTCATTCAAAATGTCAACAAAAGCCTGTAAGTTTCACTTACCGATACAGTTAGATTCTCCCAAATTATGTCAGAGGCAGAAATATTGGACTCCCTCCATTCCTTCAATGTATCATTGCTAGGATTATGTGGTTCTACACAGTTACACCTGAAAAGGCAAAATAGTGTCTTTTGTGAACTAAGTAGCTTTTTGTCACTATACTCAAAACAAATGTATGATGGGTTCTTCTTCCCCAGTCATAACTTTTCTCCATCTGAGAGAAAAGTAGTTAGGTCATCCTAAACTCCAAGACACAATATTTCCAGAAAGCAGGATAGATATACTGTCAGGACATTAGACTACTCTACAGTATTTTCTCTAATGAAAGAGGTCATTCCCTTTCTATCTCAGTAAGATGCAATTCTTAAAGTGTAGGTTAGAGCACAAGGCTTTTGGAGCCTTTGAAACCAGGATGGCTTCTAGGCTTTGCCATGACAATCTACCCCTAAACTATAAGTTAAATGGAAAAAAATGATAGACATCCAAATCTACTATTATAATTTACTTATTTTTATTAATATTATACAACTATATCAATTAAAGTTGTAGTTACTTAATCTGTACTCTAAAGGTCATTTATAATTTTGCAAATTAGGTTGAAGAACCCTAGGTATCTCAGGATATACTATTCTTCGTGATGAGTGACAGTGTTATTAAAAAAAATAAATAAATACACAAAAGATTTTTGAGTACCTACCACATAGAAGGTAACATAATGAATGTCGGATGGGCATAAGAACAAAGAGAAAATCCAAGAGTTGGGTACAGTGGTATTATGTAATAGAAAGCAATTATTGCTCTCATGGTTCTTTATAACTTTATAAATAAATCAGAAGGAAACACAAGCAAAGATTACCAACAGATTAATGTTCTTAGATGTTAACTTCAACTTACAAATGGTTTTGTTTCCAAAAAATTCATTCATAAACTATTTGTCCTTCAGAAAGCATTTTCTTATAGAAGCATTTTATAAAAATGGTGGTTGGGCTCCCACATTAACCCATATATACTGCATAACAAAAGTTAGTTGGACTGCTGTTTTAATGGTATTAATAAACTATAGAATCTAACTACCATTACTAACATTATTTCTATAGAAAAATATCATACAGTTTCTACTTGGTAAATCCCTCTGCCTAAGCAATAGTCTCTCTTGTGTCTTCTACATCAGGAATTTGGTCTTTACACCATTCATTTATGCTTCAAAGAATATTGAGTGTCTATTACAGCAAGAAACTCTACTTGACTTGGGCAATACAAACAAGCATCCTTCCTTCTTTTACTAAGGAAGGTTAGAATATTCCCTAGCGGGGCTCACCTGGACTAGGCCTCTAAGAGGGTAAAGGGTTCCAGTGAGAAAGCTGGTGACAAGGGTTTTAAGAGATAGGATATGGAAGCATTAGCTACTATGGGCAGCTACAGTGACCTCCATGGTAGCAGAGAGAGAAGCTACAGCAAAAGGGAAACAAAGGAACCTAAAATGCAGTAATAGACATACATTAATGCAATTTATTTAAAACTATAGGTTCCTAAGTCCCAGATAGGCTGTACATAAAGCTCTGTTACTTACTGGCTGCACGGCCATGGGAATATCATTCAAGCACTCTAAATCTTGATTTCCAACACTAGTAAAGGACTGCCCAGTAGAATCCCAAAGAGGGCCTGGACTAAGACAAGGGCTCATACTAAACAAAGAAATATAGTGAGAGAAGAAGATGTGAATGTGGAAACTAATTGAGAGTCTGACTCTAACCACTTGATTCCAGAAATCTTCCTACTACTACATATAATACATCCCTTCTCCAGAAAAGTTACATTACCCCTAACATAAAGAAGGTTAGAGTCCCCCAGAATCTCTAGTCAGGCTGATTAGTAAGGTCTTCTGCTGTACAAAGCCAATTCATAAAGACTACGAGATGACACTGTTATTTCAAATGTGTCAATCCCACCACAAAGTAATGAGACACATGAAGAAACAGGGAAACCTGGCCTAAACAAAAAAAAAAAAGTAAACCACCAGAAACTCATCTTAAAGAAATGGAGGTATATGAAGTACCTGACATAAAATTAAAATAACCATCATAAAGATACTCAAGGAGCTTGAGAAAACAATGCACAAATAAAATGAGAATATCAACAAAGAGACAGAAAATACTAAAAAGAGCCAAACAGAAATTTTGGAGCTGAAAAATATAATAACTAGACTGAAAAATTCTCTAGAACAGTTCAACACTAGGCTCACTCAAGGAGAAGAAAGAATCAGTGGACTCAGAGACAAGTCATTTGAAAATTTCCAGTCAGAAAAACAAAAAAGAAAAAAGAATGAAAAAGAATGGAGAAAGCTAAGAAACATATTAAATACCATTAAACAGACCAATATATACAGTATGGAAGTCCCAGAAGAAAAAGAAAGAGAATAAGGAAAAAAAACTCACTTAAAGAAAGGGGAAGGAAATGGACATCCAGAGTTAAGAAGCCCATAGAACTCTAACCATAGTGAATTCAAAGAAATCCACACTGAGACACATTGTAAGTAAACTGTCAAAAGTCAAAGACAGAGAAAGTATTCAGAAAGCAGCAAGAGAAAAGCAATTCACCATGTGTAAGAGAACCTCAAGACTTTCAGTGGATTTTTCAGCAAGAACTTCATAGGCCAGAAGGGAGAAGGGAGATATATTCAAAGTGTTGAAAGGGAAAACTACTAACCAAGAATGCTATGTCTGGCAAAACTGTTATTCAAAAATAAAGGAGAAATAAAACCTTTCCAGATCTGAAAACAAAACTAAACAAAAACAAAAAACAAACAAAAAAACTGAGGGAGCTCATCACCACTAGACCTGTTTTGTAAGAAATGCTAAAGGAAATTCTTTAAGTTAAAACAAACAGACCCTGAACAGAAACACAAAAGCACAAGAAAGTATAAAGCTTGCTAGTCAGGGTAAACATACAGACAAAAAAGAATACCGTAATGGATGTGTGTAAAAAATCACTTTTAATTCTGGTATAAAATTCTGGAATAAAATAATTAAAGATTACTATTACTATAAAATATGTTAACGGATAGATGATATAAAAATGTGATTTGTGACATCAGTAATATAAAGTGTGTAAAGGCAAGAAAGTAAAAGCAAAAAGTATTTATATGAAATTGAACTTGTTATCAGTTTATTAATAGATTGTTGGAACTATAAGATGCTTTATGTAAGCCCCATGGTACCACAAAGAAAATACCTGTAGAACAAACACAAAAGAAAATTGTGAAGGAATCAATGTCACTAAAAACACCCCCCTCAAAAAAAACAAAGACAGACAGAAAAAGAGGAAAAGAGGGACAAAAACACTGTAAGACAGAAAGCAAATAACAAAATGGAATAGTAAATCCTTCCCTATCAAGAACTACTGAAATGCAAATGGATTCAACTCTCCAGTCAAAGGCAAAGAGTGGCTGAATGGATAAAAAACAAGATCCACTAAATGTGTCTAGAAGAAACTTTTCATTTAAGGATACACATAGGGTGAAAGTTAAAGAATAAAAAAAGATACTTGATGCAAATGGTAACCTAAAGGGAGCAGGGAGGGGGGTATAATTATAACAAATAAAATAGACTTTAGGTCAAATATTGTGAAGAGACAAAGAAGGACATTATATAATGATAAAAGGGTCAATTCACTAAAAAGATATAACAATTAAAAATGTATACTGACCTAACAGCAGAGCACTGAAATATAGAAAGGAAATACTGACAGAACTAAGGAAAAGATAAACAGTAACAAATAATATTAGGAGATTTCAATACTTCACTTTATTTATTTATTTATTTATTTATTTATTTATAATTATGTTTAATTTTTTTAATTAAAATTTTTAAATTTTAATTCAAGTATAGTTAACATACAGTGTTATATTAGTTTCAGATGTATAATATAGTGGTTCAACAATTCTATACATTACTCATTGCTCACCATGATAAGTGTACTCTTTAATTCCCATCACCTATTTCACCCATCCCTCCACCCACCTCACCTCCGATTACGCATCAGTGTATTCTCTACAGTTAAGAGTCTGTTTCTTGGTTTGTCTCTCTCTGTTTTTTTCCCCTTTGCTCATTTGTTTTATTTCCTAAATTCTCAATGCCTCACTTTAAATAATGGATCTGATCCAGACAGAAGAGAAAAAAGGAAACAGAAGATTTGAACAACACTACAGACCAAATGAACCTAACAGCATATACAGAACATTTCAGCCAACAGTAGCAGAATACAGTTTTCTCAAGCACATAAAGGACATTCTCCAAAACAGATCACATGTTAGGTCACAAAACTAGTCCTAACAAATTTAAAAAGAATTAAATCATACTAAATATATTTTCCAAACAGAATGTAATGAAACCAGACAACAGTAAGAGAAGGAAAACTGGAAATTTCACAAATACACAGAAATGAAACAACACACCCTTGAACAACCAGTGCATCAAAGAAGATACCAAAAGAAAAATTAGAAAATATCTTGAGACAAATGAAAATGAAAACACAACATAATAAAATTTATGGGGTGCAGAAAAGCAGTACTAAGAGGGAAGTTTATAGCAATAAATGCCTCAAAATGAGGAAAAGTCTCAAATCAACAACCTAATTTTAAACCACAAGGAACCAGAGAAAGAAGAACAAACTAAGCCTGAAGTTGGCAGAAGAAAGGAAATAATAAAAATCAGAGCAGAAATAAATGAAAGGGACTAGAAAAACAATAGAAAAGATCAATGAAATGGAGTTTGTGTTTTGAAAAGATCAATAAAATTGACAAACTTTTAGCTAGACTAAGAAAAAAACAGAAGACTCAAAATTGGAAATGAAGGAGGAGGCATTACAACTGATTCCACCAAAATTAAGAGTTATTAAGAGATTACTATGAGCAATTATATGCCAACAAATTGGATAATCTAGAAGAAATGGACAAATTCCTAGAAACAGGCAATCTACCAAAACTGAAACATTAATAAATAGAAGTTCTGAACAGACCCGTTACTAGTAAAGAGAATGAATCAGTAACAAAAAATCTCCCCAAAAGGAAAAGCCCATGACTAGATGGCTTCACTGTTGAATTCTACCAA